ATGCTGTCTGTCACAGCTATAGTACTTTCTCTCCACAAAGCAATGTTCTTAATCTCATTGAGTGCAGAATTAGTCTTCTGTGTGTGTTAATTTCGGGATATTGTAAGGTTACTGCAATAGTATGTTGGAATTCTCCTCCAGAATGAATATTGAAGAGGTTTAAATTTTTAATGGAGAGTAAATTCTCATCTCAGAGTCTTTTGTTTTATTTCCATAGATAGCCTTCATCCAGCCTGAAAAGCATAAGAATATTCCTCCTCACTTTCACGCTCTTTCTCGAGGAATCAGTCTGGGCTTGATTATGCCTCCTTTTAATCTTGAAGAATAGCTTCCTAATCTGGTCAAGCTTCTCTGCTGATAATCTGACACACACCGCTGGCTGAACTCAGTTTTAACTTTTCTTTCTCTCCGTTTTCTTCTCCAAATCCCCTCATTTACCTCCTCTTGTCCTTCACCATTTTCTCCTCCCTTTATCTTCTCTTGTCCATTACCTTTGCTTTCATCTCCTCTCCCTCTTTTTTTTCCCTCCTTCCTTCCCCTCCCCTTTGTACCCCAACCAAACTACAGCAGTTCAACGCGGTCGCATCCCACCCCAGCCGAGCCTCAGCCCCTCCATCACGCCTATAGGTGGTGCCAGTGGCCTTGGAGGCGAGTTCTATAACAACAACAACAATGGAGGAAGCGGTGGAGGTCAGCCGGTGTCAGAGCTAATTTCTCAGCTGCTGCGAGCTGAACCGTACCCCAGCAGTCGGTATGGACACCAGTACAACCAACAGGCCGGTCCAGATAACGCAATGGGGATTGATAACATCTGTGAACTGGCTGCCAGGCTACTCTTCAGCACAGTGGAGTGGGCCAGAAACATCCCTTATTTCCCTGAACTGCCTGTGTCAGATCAGGTTAGTTGATTCAATTTTACTTAAAAGGTAGAAAAAGTATAGTGTGATGTGTGTGCATACAAAGTTATTTCTACCAGAAAGTAGCATAGAAATGTAGGAGAGAAATGGACAGATAGGTTGAAGGAAAGTGTCTACATCAAAACATAAATATACAATGAATACAGTGAACATTAAAAATGGATAACAGTGTAAATCAATCTGATTAACACACTAACAAATCCACAGGTGGCCCTGCTGAGGCTGAGCTGGAGCGAGCTGTTCATCCTCAACGCAGCCCAGTCGGCCCTGCCACTCCACATGGCTCCCTTGTTGGCCGCAGCTGGCTTCCACTCCTCTCCCATGTCTGCGGAGCGTGTGGTGTCCTTCATGGACCAGGTGAGGGTGTTCCAGGACCAGGTCGACAAGTTGACCAGGCTGCAGGTAGACTCGGCAGAGTACAGCTGTCTCAAGGCCATCGCACTGTTCTCACCAGGTGATTGTTGCTCCTCTTTTTCTTTATCTTGCTGTTATTGCCACATAGTGTACTGCAGAGCCAAGCCAGACAGACACTTTTAAAGGGGCACTATAGCAAATTAAGTTTTGTGCTTCCATGAAGTTGTTGGACTGGAATGGTCAAAATAAGTGAAGCAGGGGCCCAGATATATTCTCACTTTAAGTCTCTAGCATGGGTCAATCTCCAAAATCACTTAAGCCTACATTTCCAATAATGCAACTAGCATCTTTCGGCAGACCCTCCCTGTCTGGTAAATGCTCACATCTTTGAAACTCCACATCGTTTTTAATGCAAACGTTCTGTCAGACATTTGTAGTCTAAAAGTCTCAGGCGAGATAACCCTAATGACATAACTGTGACATCCTCAGGGTTACTTTTTCCTCCAGAGCCACCGAAGACATTAAACAACAGGCTGAGCAGGACTAAGCATGACTAGTAAACTGATCTAATCGAAATTGCTGGGGTACCTCTCTAATAGATAACCATGAATAGGAATTGAACACACAAAAATTAAAAAGCACATTAAGGCCCGCAACAGTAAAAATATTGAAAAAAATTAGAAAATACTTAAACTCCATATTTGTAACCTTGAGGTGTCTGGGGAACTGCAGGTCAGTTCTTAATTTGGGAATCTACCTACTATGGCACCATCTCCTGGCTTATTAATGGAAATGCAATAATGCACTATGTGCTGCATAATTTAGTGCTGTCACTGATCATTATGCAGCACATAAGAGTTTTTTTAAGTGGTGTCCATAAATAAATTGCTGAGTGGGAATGCCTCTTTCAAAAGCATTGAAAACTTACTCCAACTAAAAGAGCATATTCTGCTATTTTTTAAAGTTGTGTTTGGGGTGTCTAGGTTTTAAATGATATATACTTTTTATAGTGTAGACATGATTAGGCACTATATTTGTATGTGTTCCCCTCAAGGGGCATTTTATCACATTATCTGATGGGATTTCAACCTTCCTCTCGGCTTATCACGACTCTTTATGTAACCTGCCCACACTATTAAGTAACTGCCTCCTCCTCCCTCCCTCTCAGATGCCTGTGGTCTAACAGACCCAGTCCACGTGGAGTCTCTGCAGGAGAAGGCTCAGGTGGCTCTGACAGAGTACGAGAGGATGCAGTACCCAAGTCAGCCTCAGCGCTTCGGACGCCTGCTCCTGCGCCTCCCTGCCCTGCGCGCCGTTCCCGCCAGCCTCATCTCGCAGCTCTTTTTCATGCGCCTGGTAGGAAAGACACCCATTGAGACGCTGATCCGTGACATGCAGCTCTCCGGAAGCTCAATCAGCTGGCCGTATGTCCCAGGACAGTAGCCCCCTGATGGACGAGGTCTCCGTCTGGGATTAGTGACGACAAGGACCCACAGGAAACCTCTTGACTCATCACTATCCATCTGTGTGGTTATGAAACTGCAGTGCCAGCTGGCCGTCATATGTACTGTACTGTAACCGCTCTATTCCCCCTCATGAAATGAGCCCTCTGTCTCCATGTGGGCCTCCAGAGAAGAGACAAGCCAGTGCCAGGCTGGATCTGTCTTGTTGCCAGCCCACTCGTTCTGGTGCCAGGTCTTAGGCCAGAGACCAGCTCTTCACGCTGGGCTCCGATATGGCCACCACAGCCAGTCATGTCACCACCCACATGCCATAGTGACTAAAGACGCCACAGTTTCATGTAGAGGGCAGCAGGACCCTGCTACAAACACATCTAGAGGACAAAACTGTCCCGCCAATGAAAGTCAGCAGAAGAGTTTTTTCCCACACTGGGCTCATTTTCCATGGCTCACCATTTGTGATACAGTGAACTTTTTATCCACACAATTGGTAATATTACAATACAGTATCATGATTATAACGGATCTAGTTAAACAGTCTGAAGCATCAGGAAGTTGCGGTCGTGTGGTGAACTGACACTACACGATACAGAACAGGCCTCCTTGTTGAAGAGAAAATTCTGAATTCACCTCTCTCAACACTGAGCAAAAAGCCAAGGAACTGATAAATGGAACAGAAAGAAAAATAAAACCAAGGAAAAATCACCAAAGTCTATCATACTATCCTCAGAGATAGTTTTTAAATAGAATAATTAGTACACAAAGCAAAGAAATAGGGATGAACAGACTCTTGTGACTACCTGACCATCAAGTGAACAATGCATTTACATTCATTCACAGGGCTCACTGTTGCTGTAGTTGAAGGGAAAAAAATGACATGAGAATGGACTAATACCTCACTAGACATCAGAATGCTTTAGTCTGATATTTCCTAAACACAAACCTCTGTAAATGTTGTTCACCAGAAACCGCCTTCTTTTTGACAACTGCCTTGTTATTCCGTATGAATTTGGGACACCTATGAAACATGAAATGAGTTTTCTGAGCATCACAAACATTTGTCTTGAATCTTTTTGAAAACAGATCCCCAGATCCCCAAACTGTTTTTCACTTGTGTTTTCAGTATGAGTTTTGACTGACTGGATATGGTGAATTCAGCTATTGAACATAGTTTGGATCAAGCTTTTTTTTCATTGAGGAACGGCAGGCTGACATCAACTCGGGTTCTAGTCAAACAAAGTATTCAATAAGAATTAGCTCAGCAAATATAGTTGGTGATGAGAGAGTTTATAACCAACACTACCAGTTAAATACCAGTTTACGTTGATCAATGCTGTTTCTAGGGGTAATGATCCCTTGAGGAATGTATTGAAATGTGTATATATATGGAAGCCAACTTTGTCTTTTTGCATGTTCAAATGTTGTTTTGGATCTAAGTTGAGATGCTAAGTTGAGACTGTTTCATTCTTTTACATTATGTAATTCAAGATTCATTTAAAACATCAAAGTATTGCTTTCACTGTTAGCTCCTAAATGTTTTTTTCTTAATGTATTTACATGAAAATACCTCTGTCATCTGTTCAGATGTCAAAAAAGAAGCTTACCTTCATGCCATTACAGCTAGACAGTAGAGATGTCCACGCTCTCATCTCTAAGCAACTGAGTGAGTCTCTACTGTTTTGAATGATATGTGACGATACTGTAATGGGTGAAAATCTGGCGGAAAAACTGCACTTGGAGGATATCAATGCCAAAACATCACACTACCTGTGACGAGTTAAAAGAAGATGGTCGCTGGTCCATCAGGATTTACCTCACACGGGTCACAAGAGACGAGTTTACAAAACGACAAAATCAACTCTGAATACAACTTATTTCAGCATATAGTGATGAAAAACAAGTAGAAGGATGTAACTCTGCTTCTTGATTTACCACCGGGCCTTCTGAAAGTTGAACGTTTGGATATTCTTCTTTTAGGCAACAACTCATACAATCACGTCGTCGGGAAAAAAAAAAAGAGATAGATATACTATTAATGTTTTCTTATCTTTGTGTTACTGAGTTTTTAAAATTTCATGTGTATGGCAATGTTATTAAAAGAATCAAAAGATGACAATGTGTCTTTTGTTATGTTTTTGTTTTTTCAAACTACTTGAAAAAGTGTTGTAATTACATCTGTATGAAGAATGCCAAATAAACACTGCAACATGTACCATGAATGTATAAGTGTATTAATGAAAGCCAGAAACAGAGGAGTGTTAACCGCAAGGTAAAACAAATTCAAATGTTAAAACAGCCGTGTTGTCAAGGAGTTTATGTTAGAACCACACAGAGAAAAAGTCTGAGTATCTCTATCTCGACAGTAATCTGCTCTGACAGCTGCAAAAGTAATACAGACGTTGTAAACATTAGGGTCAAAGACAGTTTAGGTTCAATGACAGTAAGACCAGTATGAGGTTGACATGGGCTAAACAGTGACAATTACAACAGCACAGCAGTAAATCTGAAGAGGAAATGGAGGATAAATCCTTGTTTGTTAAGCCAGGTCACACCCTGTAAATGTGCAAGACCCACTAACAAAGACCTTGGTCGTAGATTTTCACAAGACGTTTGATGTGGAAAAGTTTTTGCCGAAATTCTTTGCACTGCTTCTTCTTTGCTTGATAGTCTGGTGTCTGGAAGAAAGAATTTTAATTGAATATTAAACAAACAGTATTATCTGTAGTAGTTCAACATTTTGAGAAATTTTCTCTTTCACTTCTTTTAAAGAAATTTATATAAAAATATCAATACCACTCACATAAATTTACATTATTGTCCTGATGCTGTAAAACACAAAATTGTCCCAGTTTTCGCCACAATTAAAATAAAACTTCTACTTGTTTTCAGTGCCTATGTTAGCATTTATCATGTTCGGTGCCACTCATAATTACCTAATCAAATGTAAAAACATATACAATGCACCACACGTCTGAATTCATCACTGATTTGTCTGTACGTGTGTCAATCAATCAATCAATGTGTTGTCAAAGCCGTCCCTAGCCTGTGAGTCATAGGTTATGCAGCTCTTTCTGACAGAACCTGTCAGTATGCTAACAGTTAGCTGTCATGCCAAAGAGAAAGTTGGTATTTTCTAAAGAGTTCCCGGAGGCTTACTCCTTCATAAAGTACCCAGCAACAAAAATGCTGTGTGCTCAGTGCTGAAATAATGGTCCCCCACCCTGATGAAAATGCCAATGGTGCGTGCATAAGTCCATATATGTGTGCATGTATCAACATGCAGTACAATTAAGGGGCCCAGTTTGAGGGAATATTATCACTCCTGGAAACAGCGATTGGCTCTGTCCAATATCCCCTCAAAAATCTAAATGTTTTGTTTGGTTTGTGCAGAAACCCAAAAGTAAAAAGGATAAGTTGTAGTTGTATAGGTGGTGTGACAAACTACACTATTTGTTGTTTCTTGTGTAAGGTGTTACTTTACATTTCTTTGGCAATTTAAATTTTGCTGTTGTTCGGTAAGAGCTATGGAAGCTATGGTAAGTTAGCTTTTGGCTACTTAAGACAGGCTAACTGTGTCCCCTTGCTTCTAGTCTTTATGTTAAGCTAAGCTAACCAGCTGCTAGCTATAATAGTGAGAGTTGTATTATTCTTCTCGTCTAACTCTGTTGTATTTCCTAAAACTGAACTATTCCTTGAATTTCACATTATTATACCACTGATATAATTCCACTCACCCTTTTCAGGTCTTTGAGATGATTATATTCATCTGCGACACCCTGAAAATGTAAATACAAGTTTTTTGACTGAATTGTGCTTATTCTTATAACATAAACAATATAAAACAATTCTGAAGCACAAGTTTGAAATCTGGCTTTGTTAATCTGCATCACTTTGTGTTCTATGGCAGTCCAATAGACTCATACTGAGGATGAACTAAGCTGTTATATGTAATTAAAAGGCACAGCTATGACTATATTCTCCTGGCAGTCCGTCCCAAATTTTTCCACTCTGCGCTCCTCCCTTCTGTTTTTTTCTCTACCTGGTACTTCATAGAGCCCTCGTCCAATGCGTCGAGTTCCCGGCTCAGCTTGTGCATCTGGTCACTGATGTCATCCATTTCGGCACAGAGGCACTTATAGCGGGCCAGATCACAGTCAAACTCCCTCTTGTACTGCCGGCGCTGTTCATCTGAAGTTATCTCTGGGTACAGCCTGGAGTGGGATGTTAAAATGAAGACATGAAATGATTTTTACATTTAAACTATTATTGAGGTTGTGGCAAAAAGACAAGAGAGGAGCTTTTTTTTATCAGTTGTCTTACCAGTATTAAATTAAAATCATTTAAACAGTTGGCCAACTTCCGTCGAAGACAGTGGTGATGCTGCCCACTCTTAGTATTATTACAGCATTTTGTTCTGAAATAATATGAGTACTGTTTCTTTTAGGGCTATGCACATTCTCTCCATTAATGCTGTGTATAATTAGAAAAAGTTAGGCTAGAAGAAACTAAGGCTTCCTCTCAGATCTGCCTTGAATACTTTAATTTGGGTACAACTGAGGGGTTTTTAAAAACTGAACCTTTTCTTGCTTTTAGCTGTTCAGTCAATATTTATGCTGATATTCAGCATCTTTAAATTTTAGCCTTAAACTTCCTGCCTTAAACTACCAAAAATTATATTATAAAATAATATTCAGTTTTTTTACTAGGAGGAAAAGCATGATGGTCCTTTAAATTTCAAAACAGCTTCTACCCTTTTAATTTGTGTTTTAATACTTTTTGTTGTATTTCCTGTTTTTACGTTAATGAATTACAGAAAAACACTTAGCACAGGCCCCATGTAGGAAATGCACTATACAAAAAACTTGCCTTGCTTAAATACTTTCTAGGATAAACAACCCAAGATTGCAGTATTAACTGGCAGCAGAGTAGTGGCCCACCTGTAAAGGTAACCTGTGTGGTTCCGGTCAAGCTCATTGCCTGTGTCTCCGGTGGTGTAACCAGTTTCATACTGGGACTCCATCATCTCCTGAGCAGCAGGCCTGGGCTCTAGGTCCTTCCTCTGCTCCCTCTCCACATGATAAAGAGGAGGTTTCCTGAAACTGTCAGTCTCGTCTGAGGAGCTGCTGGAGCAAACAGGGACCCTGCTGTTCTGGTACAGAGGCTCAGTACCCCGACGATTGCTGTTATCAGCAGAGAAACTACGGAAAAGCAAGACACAAGTATTAGATGTGTGCTTGGATGTCTACAGCCGCATTCATTTATGTTGGCTGTTGCTTCAGTATTCCCAGGTCTGGACCACTAAATCAATTGATTACTTCGAGTTTTCAAGTATTTGGTGTTGTGCACTTTTCAGGCCACAAGAGCCTACAAACATGATATGCAGAGTGGAAGTAAAACGTGTTTCTTTATCCTCTCACAATATTAAGCTGTATACTACATAAAGCTGATAAAAGACTGAATCAAGAAGTTTTCAATTTTGTTGATACTACATGCATATTATATTTTACAGTTAAAAAATACAAAACTCTACCAACTCATATGTAACGTGTACCATGACAGCAGCAGAAATAAGAGATGACCTGGAGACAATTAAAGTATTTAAATCAAAATGCAAAGCTACTGCAGCTATTTATATTTATTTTAATTATGCACAATAATGAGCACTTGGGTCAATCATGTAAACAAGACAGATTTTGCCATAGAGGATTATTTTCATCTGCAGTCCCTGGCAGGTTGATGGCATAGCACAGACAAATAGTAAAACAATGACATTAACACTATCACAGATTATGACAGCAAGTTTGATTGTCCAGTAGCCACCTTTATTTCTAGGGAGTTATGTAATATGGGATGATTCTTAGTTCTGTAGGTATAGTGTTCCAGGTATGTGCGGCTTGACAGAAAAAGGCTTACTATCCAATGGTATTTTTCTTTAATGGTATTTTACAGTTCCCTCTGGTTGTAGCTCTAGAAGACAAGTTTTAATTTTTTTAAATTAATTAATTTGGTCATAAAACAGAGTATTGCACAATTAACATAAATGTCTGAACTAAATTTCATAACAATCCATCCAGTAGTTGTTGAGATATTTCATTCAAAGTCGCAAATGTCAACCTAATGGTGGTGCTAGAGAAAAAGTCATGTGATCATCCAGTTGCTGTTGAGATATTTCAGTCTGGACCAGTGTGGTAGACTAACCAAGCAAACTACTGGCCAACATTACCATCCATAGAGCCTGCCACTAGCATGGGTAAAACATTTTTACTGTTATATTAACATTAGTACTATCAACTCCACTTGACATTACTCAACATGTAACATTAACTGGATTTTCAAAAGCGAAATTATTTTGGAGGCAGTTTTACTAAGTGAGTTTAACAAATTAATACTTCAGAGGCCATTCTTTATTCTTGATTTGGATCCCAATTAGTTTCCACAAAGTGATCGCTGTCTTCTTGGGGTCCACACAGAACAATAACAACAACAATTTATAACCACACAGAATTAATAAAACAAGAAATGGCTAAAGAAGCCGTATAAACAGATCAGATAACAAGTGCAATGACTAAACTAACTAAAAACAATAAACAATAGTAGCCTACAATCTGAACTAACATTTATGTATAAAAAAAAATTTATAAAAAAGTTTCCAACACAGTAATAACTACAATAACATCTATGTGACTTGGTGGTATTCCGGGCAGAATAAGCTCTATAAAGCACAGCTCCCATATTATTTATCAGTGGACTTGTTTGTGGCATCTGGAATAATGCTCTAGACTGGTTTAAATCTTATTTATCAAACAGAACTTTTTCGGTAGTGGTCCATGATGCTTCCTCCTCTGCGGCCCCTCTGACGGGATGTGTGGTGTTCTCCAGGGCTCCAGCCTTGGACTCCTGTTGCTCTATGTTTTCAGGCTGCCACTGAGACATATCATACATAAACACAAAATTCAGCACCATTGTTATGCCGATGACATGCCCCATTAAAAACCAAGGTAATTCTCATCAGTTGTCTGTAAGAAATAAAGTGCTGGATGTCCCAAACCCTTCTCCAGCTAAATGAAAACAGATCTGAAATCATTCTTTTTGGTCCTCCAAAGCTCATCCAATTTTATAAAAACACCTTGGTTCCCTGTCTACAAATATTAAACCTGTACTCAGAATCCTGGGTAATATATTTTACACTGCCCTTTCATTTGAAAAACAAACATGTTTTTATTTAATCTCTGTAACTTTTATTCAGGGTTAAGCAAAAAAAAATTACCTCATACCTTTAGCTAATACAAAACACAGCTGTTCATTTTTTAAAAAATACTAGAAGACAACATTATATCACACTAGGACCCTTCAGCTCTGGAACATCTTTTAAATCACTTTTTAAAATTCTTTTTAATGGTAGCACACCATTTTCTTTCCAACATGTCTGTTTTATTATTATTGTTTTATCTTATATCATTGTTGGGTATTTTATTCAATTTTATTTTTCTGATTCATACATCACACATTCAGCCTCATTACAGTCCTCTTTTAATCCCTGTTCAACCATGTAAAGCACTTTGTAACTTTGTTTTTAAAAACAAGTTTATGATTATTATTTGTATTGACACCACCAGATGACCAGTGCTCTCAACAGCACTTGGCCAAGTAACTGAGCAGTTCTCTAGGTGTGACAGGGTGAGCAACCAAACAGTGTTAATCATAACAGAAGATGAAACATATCCAGATCTTTGAAATTTGAAACATTTGAAATGTCCTTTCCCATTATTGAAATCAATCAGTAAATTACGTAATTAAACACTCAGTAATTTGGTTTTATTCCATGGTTCCAACACATCACATATTTACTTACTCTCACACTCCCACAACTAAAATCAGAAAACAGAAGCGAAGAGAAGAATATGTGTCTCTCTTTATTATTATTTAACTGTTTTATGGAGAGCAGCCAAACTTTAGGCATTAATCGTTGACCTCACAGGAAGTAAGATGTGTGCGTTTTGAAGTTCAGGACTGAAACCTGTTTTTCTAATGGGTCCTGTTTTTTCAGCACAGACCATACTGCGTTGTTCTTCCATCACTCATCGGCTGTGACCATCACTCACCTGCTTTTATAATTTCCCTCACTGTGGATGCTGACGGTTCCATTGCCGTAGGAGACCACACTATTCTCCGCCCTGAGGTCAGGTGCTGTCGGAGCCTGCTGGGTGCTGCGTGCCTCTCCAACATGGTTCACCTAGAATAATATCATGAGACTGAATCAGAATCCCTTCATTTAATGTCAGTTTGTTCCATCACAGTGCAGATCATTTAGGACAGAAAATCAACAATAACAATAAATACAAATGATGTCATCTGTGTGTCTTTCAGTACTAAACATTTTGCCAGATTTAGCATCATGATATATAGGAGAAACCCCTCAAGAGGAATCAAATGCATATTTTTTGCTGGAAAGAAAGAATCTTTTCTGCACTAAATCTGTCACATAAGTAACATAAGTGGAAGGTTCTCAAACTGTGCTCAAAAACACTTGAGGAGAGAGGCTCTGTCACTGCCAGACATATTTGCATGTAGCCAGACAGATACAACGACAAACACACACACACACACACCACACACACACACATACCAAACTTGCTACAGTGTGGCACACTGCAGTAAAAAAAAAAAAAAAACTCTAATATCCATCCAGTCCCTTCCGGGATGATCAGGGTTTCACCTCAAATCCAGCAATTCTCAGAACCAATTAATTGGAAGGACACACACAAAACCCATTTTCGGTACTGTTTCTGACATGAAACGCACGTTACCAGTGGAGGAGTATGTGTGTGTATGCATGTGCGCATGTGTTACATCATAGGAATGCTGAGAAAGGTTGAAACAGGAGTGAAATCAGTGGAACAAACATTTCTACTGTTCCATCTTTCTGAACTATCAGGTAAACATGCAGCAGAGCACTGTTGTTCTTTACTTTAGAAAAAACAGCACAATGTGCTTATCAAACACAGCAATGTTACAACCCTCTAACAGCCACAGAAATGGGACAAAAGATTTAAAAGAACATATGATATCAAACACTAAAACTGCATTATGTTTCATGTAATCCACTGTCATACTGTATAATGCATAATTAATGATTCCTAGTCTGTGGCCTATTTCTGGATCCCAGTGTAGTTGCACAGGATGACAATCTAGTTAGCTGATGCGAATGTCTGGAAAAAGCAGCCTGTGAAATAGATCTCATAAATGTGGAGTCGGAGGATGATCCTCTATGTGGAAAAAAACCTCCCAGAGAACTGCAGGGAATCTGATCCGCTGCAGCAGAAAGATGCTGTGACAGCCGCAGCTTTGTACAATTTGAGTGTTTTTAATTCCTGTGCTGTTCAGTCCAGTCAGTATTTGTGAAATCCAAATAAATGAGAAGTGATCTAAAGATGGAGATAGGGAGATTTCAGCTGCAACTAATGATTATCTTCTTGATTAATCATTTATAATCATCTATAAAATACCAATATATTGTGAAAAATGGCCCTCAGTATTTTCCAGAGCCCAAGGGGACACATTTAACAAGCTGGTGCTAGCAAATATTTGGCAGAGTGACTCTAATCCATTATTAAATTTGTTGCGGATTAATTTTCAGTTGATCAACTAAATAATTAATGTAATAATTGTTTCAGCTCTACACCCAAAAGTGATGTTGTAAGATTGCTAAAGAAATCCAAACATTTCTAATTTACAGTGAAAAAGCAACAAATCCTCAATTCAAAGACTGCGATTAGCAAATTATTTTTGTTGTCGTATTTGATTAATCATTTTGGCATTTTATTTCTTTATAGTTCTGCAACATAAAATAAATCAACATCTTAGTAGGAGCTGCACACTCATCAGATTAGTTTATAGTCTTAGTTCGGTTCTCCTCTGACTCTTTGGGAGTTGCCTGTGTTGATAAATATTAATAGGACTGTCCTATTCAACACAATCAACATACAGTTTTCCAGCATTATGCAGTGTTTGCTTTTAATCTAGTTATACTACATTCTCGTCTCTTAGTTATCACCCTTTTACAGTTCTGTTAAAAAGAAACAGCACAAAACACAAGGAAATTACTTCTTTGCCAGGGGTCTGAACTGCAGCGGTGTGTAGCAGTCCCTTCACACACTGAATCATTTAGCGCCACCACACTCTGTAGGGATTCACACAGCAACACTGAGGCAACTCAACCCTTTTTATACATTATACATGCCACATACATTATATATGCCTCCCTGCAAGGCAAGCATCTTCACTGCAATACAAGAGTGCCCCAGAATAGGGCCGGCATTTCGATGAAGCATTTCGCTACTTTGCAGTGGTAGGCAGTATGTAGGCCAAGGCCTCGCTAGATGAACTGATTGAATATGTTTCTTCCCTTTCCATAATGAGTCATGGTGGACATGATACATTCATAGTATGCTGCTACTCTAGTAGATTAATCACTGCTAAATGCCACACAAGGCTACTGCTGTGAAGTAAAAACAGCTCAGCTTTCAGGGGGCTCTACAGCACCAGCTAAATGCTGGAGCACTGATGGTCTGGGACGGTGGATCTCGGTATAATGTAAGACACACAAAATGATGTATATTGTTTCAGAATGTTCTCTAACATGGGAAATACTGGATACGCTCAGTTCTTCAGGTCTAAAAATCCTTCAAATTAAATAATCTAAGAAGAAAAATCACTCAGCTTGAACTCACAACCTGTGATGAAGGGTAACAGGTAGGAAGTGAACTGCAGTCTACAGAGGAGTTGGACACTTTGTACACCCACATTCATCCACAATGTAACAGCATCACACAACTTCGACCTTGTTTACTTCTAACAAACTACCAATACTGTCATTTTTCTGTAGAGAGTCATTACTCACAAGAGGTCACTCATTAGAAAAAAAAAACGTTTTTGCCACTTCCCACAGGATGTTTTGACACTTTGACCCACTGCCTCAGTCTGTGGGTCTGCAGTTTTTAAAACTATGTTACTATTAGATTTTCCCAAATTATTTTTGTGCCCTGAATGATGTATAGTGTACCTCTCTAATGTTTTTGATTAATAATATAGAGAATAGTAAAAAAAATAATGGTTAATTCCAAGTGCTATGAAAAGTTTATTAATAAATATCTGTTGAAATATTATATTTGTTTCCAACCTACATGCTTATAAAAAAGTTTGTATTTATTTATTTTTAATTATTTAGTAAGAAATACAATGTTGCCACATTTCAATCTTCTACCTTATTTACTATACTGCTTTTGTCACATAGTGCTTGTTTCCTTTAAGATAAGGTGATCATGAATGTGTGCAGCAAATGCATGTGTCATAATACCTATTCAAACAACCTGAAATTTTAAAGCTGGCTCTTACCTATGAAGTACATTACTTTAAAACTCTCTATGGCCTGTTTGATTTCACAGGAAATCACATAAAGTTGCTTGTCACCCAATTTTACATGGTTTCTGTGCAGCTTTTATCACTTGTCTGGTTAATGATCAGTCAGAGTGAAACCTGGGTGTGCCGAAGATAAACAGCAGTCTTCTCTGAGTAAACAGCAGCAGGTAACGTGAGTTTGTGAAACTTAATGTTCATTGGGCAGAAGGGAGAAACTTTACAATGTGCATATATTAGCAGTGAGCTTTACGCCTGCCGGTACCTTGAAAAGAGCTGATATGAGATTGTAAGCAGCTTTTGTTTCTTTATCTGGCTACACAAAAGCAGAACTAAATATAAACCACAAGTCTTTTATGGACTTACTGTAAGTAGTATATACTCAGTCATTCACACAATGCAATCCCCATTCATTCTCCGATAAAATATGATGAAGAAATACATAATAAAACACATTACTCACCCAATCCTGTACATCCTGCCCCTCTGACGGCCTGACCCGCGGCTCGTCCCAGTAGATGTTGGCTTTGCCGTGGCGCCAAATCTTGCTGCGGGTCTTGTAGGCGTAGTAAGCAGACAGGGACAGGGCCAACACCACCATCAGACCCAACACTAACGCAACTGCCTGAGGAAAGAATGTAAATTATGTATCAAAATAGAATAAAATCGAATTGAACAAAATATAATAATCCTACTAACCTCCTCGGGGTCCATGTAGCAGTAGTGGTGCAGGTATTGATTGTACATAGGGAACCCCCCTGGAAAACCGGCCCCCACGCTGCCGCTGAGGCTGGGACTGCCCTGGATGTTCTGGCACATCATTAGCATGGGATTGTACAGCATGCTCTGTGAGCTCTGAGACATCGGGTTCACCCCGATCACAAAGATGATGTCGATGATGCCCTTGAAATCAAAACAGAGGCACATTTAATCGAAGTAATAATTTAAATACCTTCAATATTATCTTTGAATGACGCTGCCAAGGCAACATATTAAAAAACACAGAATTCTCATAAGATAACTGTAATACACGTAGCAGATACTAGTTCATATCCCAACTTCTATGCTTAGTTTAGTATCATGTCTGAATTACTTCCTTAAAGGTCCAGTGTGTAACATTTAGAGGATCTATTGGCAGAAATGGAATATAATATTCATTAGTATGTTTTTATTAGTGTGGAATCACCTGAATATAGTAAATCTGTATGTTTTTTAAAACCTTAGAATGAAGCAGTTTCTTATTTACAGACGCCATGGGTCGCCTTCTATGGAGCCATGTTGAGCTGCCATGTTCTACAGTAGCCCAGAATAGACAAACCAACACTGCTCTAGATAGGGGTGTTTCCTACACTGCTAGATGCCAGTAAATCTTACACACTCTACCTTTAATGTGTTGTATTTATTTCCTGAAACAGGATGTTGGGGTGAGAGGTGACACATCAAGTTTAGTAAATTAAGTAAAGTAAAAGAAATTATACAACTGAACCAAGATGATGGTGTGCTATTACCACTACTATTTCCACCTAGATAATCGTCCCCTATCTGCAACATGTTGTTCTGTGTGTGAAGTTTAAAGTCGTCCTCACAAGTGAAGGGAATCATTCATTGACTGACACATTTGATATTTTGTGAGACTCACCTGAAGGACAGCTAAGATGATATCACTAATGAACACAGTGAGGTAGAACCTGCATCCCCGCATGATCCGTGATCGTGAGAAACTCCCCACCAGGAACCCCAGTGAAACCAGGAAGTTAATGGCCACCATGGAAATCATCGCAGCCTTTGCAGACTGTGGCGTCATGTAAGAGCTACCGTAGCCGTAGCTGCCCCCGTAATATCCCAACTCCGTACCTGCGACGCCCCCTGCAGCCCCAAAACCATAGCCCCCATACCCAAATCCATTCATGTCCCACACCAAGGTGGAAGCCACGCAGGCGAAGATGAGGAAACACATGAGTACTGTAGCTCCTTGGAAGGTTTTGACGAAACCAGGAGGAGAAAACCAGCGGTAGAAGTGTTGAGGCCTCTCCTCCATGTAGTAGGAGTCTGGAGGGACATTATAGGTGTAGGGGACATACTGGCTCTGGGGGGAATGAACACTCCTTGAAGGGTAGAAGCCTTGGGAGGTGGTGCTGTAAGGCGGGCTGTACACAGGGGGGCTATCGTAGTACCGTGGCTCATACATGGTTTAGGGGATGTTACTGCAATTTCACCTGGAAGAGGGAGTAAAAGATTTAGATAAGATTTAATCAATTCATGGTAGAAGCAGTGTCCTTGTAACATGTTACACTATCATTATATCACTTATGTTTCAGCACCACAAAATAATGCATTTAACAGCAGCTTTGAAGGTGGCAAATCTTAACCTTGTGTCTCAACCCTCTGGAGTGATGCCTTGAGTACACTGACTCTTAAAATTGAAAATGTGAATGCAGAAAATAAAATAACTTTACTTTAAATGCCTGTCCCTTAGTCCTTTCAGCACTTTTGTTCATTATAATGTAACTAGTTTTTCTTTTAAGCACAGCAGGCACCCATTCTGCCCTTCATTCACCTCAGCCCATCCCTGAACCCTCTCTCTGGTGTCGCTGACCCACACTTCATCACTCCAGAGGAACTCAACCCAACAGGCTTCAATAATTCAGACAGACAGCAGATAAGAGGCGAGCCGGGGCAGCCATGCGGGGTGTTTACTGCAGGGGGAGAACCAGACCAGACCTGTTCCTTCTCTGTACCGCATCTACTGTGTGTTAGCTGTGTGCACCTGCTCAGTGTGTCAGCCCACTGAGAGAAAAGGAGAAGCTACAAAACAAGCCCAGTCAGCCGTGGCAGAGCTGTTTGGGTTTTTTTTGATCAATTGCAGAGTTTATATAACATTTCAAATGTGGCCTCAGAGTCAGTAAGAACAACAAAACAAAAATAACTTCTCAATTTGTAAAATGTAACTTTGCTCTACTCAACTTTTGAACTGTGTACATTCATTCATGCTGTTATACATAGAAAAAAAACAAATATTTAGCTTCTGTCCACTTTTAATTGCAAGTGTAAGATCTGATCACTTTATGTGTCAAATGCCTTAACGTCCAATATTGATACTTTAAAGTCTTCTTTAAACATTCAAAAGGTCAGATCATTGAACACAAATAAAAGGACATATTCATTAAAACCTTATAACAACTTTAACATTTAAATTATTAGCTAGGACTAGTATTACACACCTTACCCAATTTTCACCTTTGCACCTGTCCATCCATGTGAGGCTCCCTTCTCACAGCACACAGTCCGCTTTATACCTCATCGACGGTCATAAACTTCGTTATTTTCCATTATGGATTCGTTTTGCTAACAAGAAAACCCGTAAATGAAACCTACCGAGCTGCCTGACTCACTGCGGGCCCCGCCGAGCAACCAGTGCTGTGTCTCCGCAGGAGCAGAGTTCACCTGCTGCTGACCTGACGGCTCCCACGTGTTCTCTGATAGACAGTTTATAGGCTGCAGCTCCGTTCACATGAAACATTAAAGACTGCATGTTAACTATACTGTCTGTCCGGTTAATGCAGCTACTGCGTCTGTTTAAAGTTTATTAATGTTTTGATGTTTACTATACATGATGGCTTGATTGTTATAATAATAATGATTTTAGTTAATATTATAGTTGCATAGTTATTATCTGTAGATGGTCATACAGTGAAGCAATTGCCTATGCATTAAGGGTAATTAGAACTGAAACAATAAGTCTATTAATTGATTAGTGGATCAACAGAAGAATTACTATTCATAATAATTGATTAAGTCATTTTTTAAGCAGATAAAAGCCAAACATTACCAAGATCGGGCTTCTAAATTGTGAGGATTTGTCTTCTTTTGTCTCATGTAAAAGTAAACATTAATATATTCTGGACTCTCTGGAGTTATGGAGTGACACAGTGTTTTCTGACATTTTATACTACAAACTATTAATTAAGAAAATAACCTGAAGATTAATGAGTATGAAAGTAATCTTTATAGTTGCAGTCCAGAAGGTAATTAAGTTTTGTAGCGTTAATGCTATACTGAAAGCAGGCCAGCATTGAGGCCACTGCCACCCCTAAAAAAATCCTGGCCACCCCAGATAACGTTAAAAAATGGAAAATAATTTAATGATCTGTTATAAGATCAATGAAAAAATCCATATTTACATATAATATTTGGGAAAATGTGTGGAAATCAGCATATATTTCTGCCACCCCTTAAAGTCTCCATGCCACCCTTTTGCAATCCCATGAATATTTCTCTTGATCTGCCCCTTTGGCCAACAGATATAGTCCAACATTGGTGTACTGCTGTTTTTTTCCCCACAACATTAAACATTACAACTGAGGCTTCACTGTCCTCCTCGTGTCCAGATCACTTTACAACAGCTATCAGTCCGCAGAAAACATTATTGTCCTTAATGCTGCTGTACTAAAACACCCAAATGACCATTATCATTGTCCACACAACAGAACAGTAAAGAAAAGAAAAACACTTTGATAATGTCATCTTGATAAACACTGATGTAAGTGAGGTGACTGTCGCTGCTGTATCCACACAGAAAAACAGGTCAGTGTACAGCACTAATTATAATGCACACACAGCAAACGTTAACAGACAGGTAATGTAGGGGAGTTTGTCCTAATAGCAGTTGACTCGATGAGAATCACAATATAGACTATTATTATGTCACCACATTACCAAGATGTTTTCTGAGTGTCTGTAACAGATCCTGTCTGGGGACTGGCCAGACAAATCAACAACACTGTTGTTCAGGTACAATGAAACACAAACCCTGTATATTCCTCTGCAATTCAAAGTATTTAAAGGAGGGTTTTAACAAGTAATAGAAGATTTTCAGATTTCAAGCTCTGTGGTTTCCTGAAAGGGTGAATTGTGTCACTTAACATACTGTTTTGGCTTCTTGGACTCCAACCTGCTGTCTAAAATATACATCCAGAGGACCGACACAGTGTCCAACAGTCAAATCCAAACAGTGATTAAAATGTATCTTTAGTGTTTTTCTATCACACAAATTGCTTTCTGGTGTTTTGTTGTGAGCAATATACCTGTAGCTGAAAAAAATATATCAATAACAAATATTTGTACAGTCTGTTTACTGAGCCTGACAGAGTTTTCAACAATTTAAAAGACCCACAATTTTATCCATCTGAAAATATATTTTTTTCTGAAGCTATAGAATAAATTACAAAGCTAAAGGATAATAAATAAAAAACCTGGATGACCTAACGGTGTTAAGAACAATAGTTGCCCATGTAAGTTAAACCAACTATCAACACAGAAGCTATAAATAAGAAACAAACTTTCACAGAATTCTTTTGTAAAAATCACTGTTAGAACTTTAATTTAAAACATACACTGAATCAACATGTTGCTCCTCTGCATTGAAATAAATGACAGGAACATAATAAGAAAATACAACATGATATGAAAGCTGTACAAAAGGAGTGTACCATTTAACCCGTATAATGTTGTAACTCAGATGTTATAATTGTGTTATAAACCGGGTTTCATGTCAGCTCTGACATCATGCTGATCCCTGTACAAAAATGTCTAACAATCAATGAAAAATATGCTTTTCATTTAAATTACAATGTCTTCAATGCAATCAATACACAGACACAACAAAACACAAAAAAGGGACAAATGAGAAAAATATGATCGCTCATCTGTTGCTGCAGGTTTTTTTTTTCCTTCATGTTCGATCACTTGTCATGGTTTCCTGGTCAAAAGTGCGGATTCTGTTTTTGATGTGGCTTAATTTAGCTTTCAAGTAGTCACAGCGTTCCTTTTTCTCTAGGAAAGCAGGGTCCTGTAAAAACACACACACATAAAATCTATTGATTAACCTGTATTACCCAAATCTGTCTTTCTCTTTCTCTTTTCCTCCTTCACTTTCAGCTAACTGCTGTCTGGCCTGACTCATTCTGTAATGTAGCTGCGTTAAATGAGAATTTCGAGAGTTGCACACATTTCATGATTGGAGCAATTTTATTTGCATCAGTGGACAGCTTTATTGAAGAAAATATTGCCTGGATGTTTAAACAACAGTAGCAATTCTAACACAAATCTGGCTTAAGTGTTAGCAATGCCAAATTATTTTTCAATTGTTTTAGAGTAAACAGATGGAAAACAGGAGGAACTAGTGCCCTCACTTTTTAATAATCGCTCCATCACTTACACTCTTTTTCTGCTGATACTGCTTCAAAATGCTTTGAATCCTCTGCCGATCCTAAAAGATAAATAGATCGATAACCAAATGGTTTGCACAAATTATTTCACTAAAGCACACAACAGTCTGCATCACAACTGCATCATGTAGAAATAGATATATTTAATATGAGGAGGCCTGATTATAACCTTACAATCTCAAATCAAATCCTCATGGTCTTGACAGAAATGCTTTATATGGTTTATTTAAATAAAGATACATCTATCTTACCTCTTGGCTTTTTCCATCTCTGAGGAGTCGCGCCATCGTGGCATCCAGCTCTCTGAACTTACTGAGGGTGGTGCTGATGTCTCTGTGAAGGTCCTTATATTCCTGATACTGATCATTGAAAACAGCTTTGTACTTTTCCCTTTCCTCCACACAGCTGATCTCTGGATACTTTCTATAGGGAAAGATTTTAGGAGCGATTAATAAGGTGATTCTGTCGTCAGATGGAGTCAAGTATACACAGTATGTAGTATATATGATAATGTGGACAGAGATATGTTTTGTGAAATACAGTTCAAATGTTCACTCACATGATGTAGTCTGCGATGACGTGGACTTTGGGGGTGTAGTCAGTTCTGTTAAGACTGACTGGGTTCTTATGGACCTCAGGGGTGAGTGCATTTTGATTGTTATAATCTTTTCTCAGAGACTTATCTATTTCATCCTTAAATGATATGCGCTTTGTTTTTTGAGGGGTTAGTGGAATGGACTGGTGAAACTCCTCCTGGGGATTAAAGTAAAAGAGGATAAGTATTATTCCTAAAACATGAACCAACAAATGAAATTATCAAATGACTACACCACTATGTGCGCTGGCCTGTGTCATCATTACAAGAAGATTTCTAAGAGGCCTAGGTGACAAAATTTAATTTAAGCTGTCAGAGAAAGTTTTTTTTTAAAAGCACAGCCAGCGGAAAAACTGCCCCATTCTTTTGCTTCGACAAGCTAAGCCTCCCCTCAGCCGGGAGGTGGAATTATTATGTTCACTTCTGGCCTCTCACCCTTTCTTATGTGACATAAAATACATTAGCTGACCATGCTGTTTCTCACTCATAGGTAGTGCCTGTGATGCTCGATAACATGGACCTTATCTGCAAACAGTAATGAGCTCGGCAGCCGTTGAAGTGAACAATCCCGAGTACTTGGAACATAACAACAATAACATCTCTGTTTTTAATGTGCTCATTTCTGTTTACTACTGAGCATGCAGATGCACACATATAGTGTTTGTATAGCTCAACCATTGATTTACATTATTAGAAATGAACGTGTGTTAGTGCCAATGTCACTTTTGTTACACTGGTAGACAAAACCTCTTGTCAGCAGCAACAGACTTCTGTCATGTCAAACGCTTTAAAATATTGTATTGGATGTGTACTGGATGTTGTGCTAATGAAATCAGATTCAGAATCAAAAACACAGTTTACAGCTTTGAGACGAATCCTGGTTGACTACCATCGCATCAACAAGCAGAAAAGGCTGACAAATCAATACTGACAAATGGCATGCTCACTGCAGATTGTCTTGACTGACTTTAAATTTCATTGTATTTGATCTGCCATAGTTGTTTTGTAGCTGTTGTCGGCTCATTTATATCTCAGTAATAGTATCCCTTACTGTTGCTACCAATAGACGCAGTGTTTGATATGTCATACCTTAAATAACCCCAAAAGGGGGGAGTGATGCCCAAACATCATATAGACATCTTCTTGTTTCACACCTCAGGAGAGAGTGTGTGACAGAGCAGCACTGACAGTAAAATGAGTCACACAAGAAAGGGGATAAAGCATGAGCTTTATAAATACGGAAGCTGAGAACAAAACTTGTGACAGTGAACACCTTCTTTTGTACTTTAAGACTTGTATGGTGAATTTAACCTTCTATACTGAATCCATGAGGAGCATTTCCCATATCCAGCTGCAAAATGCAACTCCCTAATGTAAATGATTTCCCTCCCACTTTAAAGTTAGAAAGATGAGATTTTCTTTCATCTAAAATTTCCATTGGATTAATGAACTGTACCTTGTTCTCAAAGTACTCCCGCTCCCTGCGTGTGGCCTCGTGCCTCCACATCTTCAGACACACCAGGAAGCTTCCCAGATACATTGTCATATTGATGAAGATGAAAGCGGTTCCCGCCATCTGGCCCCCATCAACCCGACACAGATTGGCCATGATCGGGTTAACGCCTATTGTTGTGTAGCACAGGCCCCCGCGGTTCAAATCGTTCAGGTAGACAATCCCTGCTGCCATGTAGAGCAGGAACATTGCCACATTGATGAAGGCCTCCGTCAGAGGCCACCAGGGGGAGTCGAGGAGGATGGTGCGATAGTACATAGTCATTCCCATCACCAAGAGAATGAGGGTTATAATCCAGGAGACACCAGCAATTGCCAGTATAAAGGGAGTCATAGGGCCTCTGTAGCTGTACCCAGACAGTCCAAGCCCGTTGTTATATGCACCGTTATAGAGTCCGAAGCTGTTGGACCACTCACTGTCTTTCTGGACGTAGGCGATGACACAGGCCAAGACCATGCCCCCAAATAGGAGCTGAAGCCCGGCAAGAAGTCTGAGCAGACCTGGCCAGGATTTCAAATAAGAATACTTCTGGTTATAGACTTCCAGCTTCTCAGCGTAGTACTCTGCAGGGTGGATACTAGTCAGTAGAGATTCCTCTCTTGGGAACAGATCATCACAGGGGCTCTCCAGTAACAGAGGCTTATGGGAGTTCTCGCTGGAGTTGCCCAGTGATTCACCCCAGTTCCTGCGCTCAGGCAGGGGACTTACAGGGGGGCTCACCCTGGTCCCATTAGGAAGGATCTGGATGCCTCTGGTGCTGGCTTCGGAGTCATTAAAACTGCCACTATCCCTTGTCCATTTATGGATAATGCCACCCCATGACTGAGGGATAAGGGATTTAAGCCTGTCCTTCATGCTCCCTTTTTTGTCATTGTTCTCATTCTCTGCGTAAGGTGGAGTACTGGATGTGCAGTTAGTGGAGTTAGTATCATCGTCATCTGTAATATTGTCTGGTGTGGGTGTATGAGTAACCCACACAGGCACTGGTGGATCACTAAAGGAGTTTCTCTTGCTAGAGGACGACCCAACCACACTGTCAGCCTCTTGTCTCTTGAATTTCCTGCTCCAGCTTTTCATGCTGCTGGCAGATTTTGGTGATTAATTGAGAAAGAAATATTCACACAATCCTGATGAGGCATGGAGGGGGAGAAACTGCGGGCGGAAACAAGACAAATGATCAGTTATGTATGATAGGAAGGCAAGTATACAGTATATACCATAATTATATGTTCTAAAATGTATAATTAACACACACAAACCTCAGTAGCTTGTATGTAATGATTTTAAAAATACTTTCTCATTTGATTTAGATCAAAACTTTCAGCTTACATACATTTTTATTTTTATACAACTAAGAGAGTTGTATAAAAATAAAATCAAACATGATTGTGAAACAAATGTTGTCAATTAGTGGCATTGCTTCCCTTGACCTGGAACCCACTGTGTCTGCTGACATATCCACCAGCCCTGCCTAACTAACTTGCCTATTGAGATCCGATCACAATGCGAGCACAATGGAGTTAACAAGAATGCAGTTTAATACCAAGTGCAAATGCAAAGACCCATTTATTGGATGTCATTATACAGATAAAGTATCCAGATGCAGATCATATTTTATGTAATATGAGGAGCCAATTGGTCCTGAGTTATGAGTTATCCCTTTCATACAAATAGACATGCATTTAATCCATTGTTAAAACAAAAATATTGATTATATAATAACCCTGATTGACTTGTATAATCCATCACAATAAACATAACAGATATTTTTTCTTTCTGTTAATGGTAAGTGCAGACTTTGACAAAACATAATGTAGACTTAATGTTCATTATGGATTACACAGCTTTAAGCAACTTTGAAGAGTCTGCTGATAGATTTTCAAATTAAATGGAAATAAAAGTGTGTCTGTAATCGTAGGAAAAATAAAGATTGCTAAAACACACCTGCATTGTTTGCAAAATGGTTACAGTATGTGATTTTTGAAAAACAAAACCAAGCTACCAAACTACTGGAATGGTCCTACACATTCATCAAATTGTATGGGTCAGCATCATAAATACAGCAGACTGTCTGCTCCAAGATAACAACTCAGAGAGGGATAAGAACAATAGTATAGTAGAGCTCAGGCTCAACTAATAACAGAGGAGTTTAAGCTGAGCTGTGACTCACAGCAAGCTGCTGCATGAGCTCTTAATACACCACAGCAGTCATGAAACTGTCACAGTACATCACACATTAAGTATATTTGAGTATATTTACCTTTAAGACCTTTATCTTTAAAACCTCAAAACCAACAACTTTTCTTACCTGTTTAACCCCAACTTGTTTCTCTGGTCAGAGTGTCTGCTTGTGAGGAAACAGGAACTGATACCTACTGTAAAATGGCTGCCGTGTCCACCAGGCCCACTCAGCTCACACTCTTCAGTCTCTCAGGTGACTCACTCCTGGTGTTAGATGCTCAGTTCCGCACACGCAGGGCGATTAGCCAATGTGTGTGGAGAACTGAGGGGGGAGTAAAAGCTTAAACATTAAACCTGAACCGCCCCTGTGCTGGTGCTGACTGGCACCACTAAGTTAATCTGTGGGAGAGAGAGAGAGAGAGAGAGAGAGGCTGAAACTGTTGACATTAATAAAATTGAGGAGAGGAGGTGGTGAGCTAACCTGAAACCCACAGCAGGTGCCTGAATGGCCATTTAGGCTGCTTGAAGTGCATATTATTGGTACTTTATTGATACAAAAAGGGCGAGAAGTTGATAGTCCACTCTTTAATACTACTTCAGGGACTCCTATACAAGCCTAGCATTGTCTGTTAAAACTTAAAGTATTATGGATATCACTGTAAACTATCAAAAACAGTGGCTTGTCCACAAGATTACACTTATTTTTAGAGACAAGCATGTGTTTGATATCAGCCCTACGATATCAATTACATCTCATATCTAAGATCTGTGAAATACTGCTTTATCATCCCGTCATTTATGAATAATTCATTCTCATCTCAGCTGTGTCATATTGTGTTGTTGTCACAGAGGGAACTGGAGTGTTTGGCACTAGAGGGCAGCAAGTTCCTGTGCTTCTCACTTAGATCGCCACTTGCTCTCTCTCTCTCTCCCCCTCACTGAGTTGTTCTGTATCTTTATCTCATTTACTGTCTCTCTCTCTCCCTCTCCCACTTACCTTTTCTCTGCTGCATTCAGTGTTTCCAAACCTGGCTACCCCTGTGAACACCAACTAACAACTATTCTCTATTTCTTTATACCATGTTCCTTCATTCACATGCAAAATATGGAATAAAATAGCAGCTAAATGCATTGAATACATCCTGGTCTTGATAATGTTTTCAAGTTGCAAGTTGTCATTTTATTATCGCCAGTATCTAGTCTGCTTTTTCCTTTAGCAATGATTCTATGCTACATGTCTTTCTTCACTATAATTAACCCTACATATCAGGAAGGATACAGCAGCAATCATTCCTGCTGTATAATGTGACGTCACTCTGTGCCAGTGATTCTTCCAGCTCTGATTTTCATGTAGAGAAAGCTCAAGGCAAGGACATCTGTAGTGATCCCCCACCCCCCTCCCCTCCACCCTCACACACACACACACACACACACTCAAACACTGCAGTACTCTTACAGTACAGTAAACACATAATGCAACCCACTTTCTCAAGTGAGTAGGCTACCAGTCCCACCAGTGGCCTTGGCCTGGGGCTACCTCATCTGTTGGTGCCATGTGTGTCCTCTACTGCCGGTGCAGGGGCCTGCTCAGCTGCAAATAATATGCAGAACAATGCAAGAGTCATGTATAAGGAGTGTTAGATAATATATAAAGCAAAAGCCTAACATGTTAAATAGTTACATAAAATAGCATACATAC